GATCTCCCCTCCCCTCACCCCTGAACAAACAGTCTTGAGAGAGAGTCTGAGACCAAGGCCATGTCTGACGCTGATGCCCATGACAAACACAGATGGCTGTTGAGACCTTGAAACTCCTCAGTCAGAATAACATTGCTCATCCACCCCACCTCCATCTCACCCTGCCTCCAAATAACCATCTCAACTTCATCTTTCTTCCTGGTACTTAAAAAACCCTAGTTGTAAGAGGGTGCGCCATTTCCCCTTCAGCCAGGCTGAAGGAAACTTGGTCACCTTTCCCAAGCTTCCCTCCCAAACAAAGCCTATTGATCTACTGAGTTTGCTTTTTGCCTTTCCTTTATTCTACACCCTCATGACTCAGTTTCCTTACACTCCCAGCCACCCCTCTCTCATAATCCATGCCCAGTCCTTCACAGCTACTGGTTCTTTCACTGTTTTCTTTCCACCCTGGCACAAAACACCTATATCTCAGCTAAATTCATTTATTCATTTAAATAATTCATTAAGTTACTTATTTAGTCACTCATTATTCTGCCAATACTGGAGATTGAGCTCAAGACCTTGAACTCTTAGCTTTTTCACTCAAGGCTTGTGCTCTACCACTTGAGCCACACCTCCATTTTCAGCTCCTTGCTGGTTAATTGGAGATAAGAGTCTTGAGAATGTTTTTCTGCACTGGACTATTGAGCAGTGTTTTAAAAGGATATGAGATGTTTCTTTTATTTGTTAGTGGCCTTGGATGTGTTACAATGTTTCTTTCTCCCAAGTTCACTTTTATCACTGAAGTACAAAAATTTAGTAAGTGGTTGCTAGGAAAGCTGTGTATAGCAAGCTTAAGTGGTTTCAATCTCACAAATATTTGGGGGGTAGGGGTGGTTGAACTCAGGCTCTCATGCTTTCTCTTGGCTTTTTTTTGCTCAAGGCTAGATTGTCCTCAGATCTCAGCCTCCAAAGTAGCTAAGATTACAGGTGTATGGCACTGACATTGCCTTTTATTTTTATAGAAGCTTCCCAACTGGCCACCTGGACTCCAGTTTCCCTGAGTTTCTTCAGATCCCTCCAGTTGCCCTAGTGCTGTGTCTAAATTAACTGTGATGTTTATCTTTTCAAGCTCAAGGTGGCCTCTCAATGAAATCCCTATTGTCTAATGTAGGTGAGGAGGTCTTTCACAATCTAGTTAGTGCAACCTCCACTAACTCTATTTTTAACAATCTACAAACTATGTGAAGACCTAAGAAATAACACTACCTGGCAGAGAGAATGATACTCCTTGGAAAAAGATATTATAGAATTTGAAATTTGAGTCAAAACAGCACCACATGGCTTAAGTGGTAGAGCACTTGCCTTGAGCTGAAGTGCTCAGGGACAGCACCCAGGCCCAGAGTTCAAGCCCCACAACCACACACACACACACACACACACACACACACAAAGCCACAAGAGTCATTCTTAGACCAGGAGAGATAAACAAGGATATGTCTTAGTTTCAGACTGATTATTACTATTACTATTATTATTATTATGCAGTTGTACAAAGGAGTTGTCAGTCTACAACTGTCAGTTTTTGAATATAATGCCTCTTGACCTCTTGCCTCATCCTTTCAACATTTTCACCCATCCCTCCCAATCCACCCTTTGCTTTACTTTTCTTAATTTTGGATATACATTGAATTCTTGACTTCAATCTCCCCCTAATATAATCCTCCCCATCATCACACTACTCAAAAAGTGGTGTGTGCGCATATGTGTGCACATGCTGATCCTGGGGCTTGAACTCAAAGCCTTGGCACTGTCCTTGAGGTTTTTTTATGCTCAAGGCTAGCACTCTATGATTATATAGCCCACAACTCCACTGCTGGCTATGTAATGGTTAATTGCAGATAAGTGTCTCATGGACTTTCCTGCTACAGGTAGCTTCAAATCGTGATCCTCAGATTTCAGCCTTTTGAGTAACTAGGATTACAGGTGTGAGCCACTGGCACCAGAATGAAATGGAAAAATCTTAGCTGAAACTATATAATGCAGTAACAAAACAAGAAGCCAGAGTTAACAAAGTGAATACATTTGCATAAAGGCAGTGATCCAAGCTCCGATGGTGGTAGGTACATTTGACCTCAGTGATTTTTCTTCTCTTGGTGCTACATTTTCTTCTACTAGAAAATGGAGGTCTAATTGTATCTGTCCCACAGCATTAGAAATCACTCAGAAGAGGTATAATATACAGTATCAACTTGTAAATTGCTGTTACCATAAGAATTAACAAGCAAATTGTGCATGTATCTCAAGGACTCCTGAGCAGTGTTTTAAAAGGGTAAGAGATGGGGCTGGGAAGGTGGCTCAGTGGTAGAGCGTTTGCCTTGCATGCCTGAGGCCCTGGGTTCGATTCCTCAGCACCACATAAGCAAAAAGAAAAAAGCCAGAAGTGGCACTGTGGCTCAAGTGGTAGAACACTAGCCTTGAGCTGAAGAGCTGAGGGACAGTGCCCAGGCCCAGAGTTCAGGCCCCACAACCGGAACCAAAAAAAAAGGATAGGATATGATTTTTTTATTTACTAGTGGCCTTGGATATGTTACAATGTTTCTTTCTCCCAAGTTTGTTCACTTGTATCTCTAAACTACAAAAACTTAGTAAATCCTTGCTAGGAAAGCTTGGTATGGCAGGCTTAAGTGGTTCCAATCTCACAAAAAAAAAATTGGGGGGGTGGTTGAACTCAGGATATCATGCTTTCAACGTGGCTATTTTGCTCAAGGCTAGAGCTCTACCATTGAGCCACACCTCCACTTCCAGCTTTTTGTTTTGTTTTTTTGTTTTTGGGTCCGGTCATGGGGCCTGAACTCTGGGCTTGAGCACTGTCCCTAAGCTCTTCAGCTCAAGGCTAGTGCTCTACCACTTGAGCCACAGCGCCACTTCCGGCTTTTTTCTTCTTGCTTATGTGGTGCTGAGGAATCGAACCCAGGGCCTCGAGCATGCAAGGCAAGCGCTCTACCACTGAGCCACCTTCCCAGCCCCACTTCCAGCTTTTTGATGTTTAATTGGAGATAAATCTCACAGACATTTTTGCCTGAGTTTCAAACCTTGGTCTTCAGATCTCAGCCTTCTGAGCAACTGGGATTACAGAATTGAACCACCAATGCCCAACTTGTTTATGTGAATTTTAACTTGGGAATGGAATATTTTCCTAGTCATGGTACTATCTACATACTGGCTATTTTATCATTTCTCTGTTGGAGCTGGGAAAGCCTACCTGTTTCCCAACTATGAAAGAAAAGCTGAGGATGGGTATAAATGAGGGACTGGACTGTGGACAAACCTCCACATCTCCAAAAAAAAAAAGAAATCTCAAATCTCTGCTCAGAATTTTTTTTTCAACAGTGAAGGAAAAAAACACAGAAACCAATATGAGTAAAACTTGATTCCTTCTTAATCTATGATAGAAAATAAAGGGGTTTTGCTAAGTGCTTTCCCAGTTCAGCCCTCCACTTCTGCATCTTTTATTCTCTGGCCTGAACGAAGTGTGATGTATCGCTTTTGGTGAAGGGGTTCCAGGGAGGCCTTCTCCAAATGACATGTGAACTGAGATCCATTGGCTCTGACATCTGTCTCCCTTATGGTTGTGAACTGCATGTGTTTGTTCAGTTGTCATGTGTGTACAAGTGTGTGTGCCTGTGCCGGTACTAGAGCTTGAACTCAGGGTCTGGGCATTGTCCCTTAGCCTTTCCACTCAAAACTGGTGCTTTGCCACTTGAGCCACACATCCACTTCCAACTTCTTGCTAACTAATCAGAGACAAGAATCTCACTGACTTGCTTGCCCAGGTAGGCTTTGAACCTAGATCCTCAGATCTCAGCCTCCTGAGCAGCAAAGGTTAGAAATGTGAGCTGCTGGTGACCAGCTAGCTCTTCAGTTGTTGCTCTCTCTCACTTGATTATGGGCTCCAGTGGGGCAGAGATTATGTCAGTCACATTATCTGTTATCTGCTCCACACCTAGAGCCCAGAACACAGTAGGTACCTTATAAATAACAAGTAAATGAATGATAGTGACACAGGCGGCAGAGTTCTCAGGAAGGGAATTTCCCTCTTGCCACCTATGCCCATGCCAATGCTCAACAGATGAGAATGGCAGATGAGATTGTCAGCCAATAAGCAGAGGCCCAAAGCCAAGCAATTTGACAAAGGGTAAAAAGGCCTCCAAGCCAGAAGGGGAAGCACAGGGGTTTCTAGCACAAGAAGAAGAGCAATATCAGCTAGGGAATACTGGAGGCCATTCTGTCCCCAAGATATACATTAGACTATTCACAAGATTATTCCCTGCCAGGTGCCTGTAGTTCATACCTATAAGCCTAGCTACTCAAGAAGCTGAGATCTGAGGACTGGGGTTCAAACCAGCAAAAGCAGGAAAGTTCATGAGTCTCTTATCTCCAATTAACCACCAAAAAATGCCAAAAGTGTTAGAGCAACAACCTTAAGTGAAAAAGCTAAAATTCAGCACCCAGGTCCTGAGTTCACACACACACACACACACACACACACACACACACTTCCTATAATCCTCATCCTATCACTTGGGATTTGTTACCTTGTATAACACTCATAAAGAAACAGGTCTATCTCCAAATAGGCAGTAGGCAAACCTAAGTTTGTGGGGTTTCTGGTATCATTGATTCTGCATGAATACCCCTTCTGGAGCCAGGTACAATTGGTTTTCATTCCTACTCCGCCCACTTCTAACACAGGAACCAGAAGAGCACCAGGTTGGACACCAAGCCTGGGCTTTCCACCCTGTGCTGCTGTAAACCAGCCAAGCTTCAGCATATCACTCTCTGTACCTGATCTCCTCTAGCTGTCCATCAACAGCTTGGCCAGATGATCTTCAAAAGGCACTAACCTTCTGAAAGTCTCCATATCCACCTGAGAAATCTAGCAGTGACATCCACAACTGCCCACACTCCTTACCACCTAATTGAAACTAAGGTTAAAAAAAAAAAGACTGAACATCAACTCTAGTTTAACCCATTTATTGACAAAATGAAAAAAATTCACTTTAAAAGGGGGTACAGCATCAAAAATATAGTTAACAGAACAGAAGGGGAGGATAGGTTGCACATATCATTAGAAGAAAGGGAAGGACCAGGAATTGGGTAAGGTGGGAGAAGCAATAGAGTATCTGCTAAAATCCTGAAGCTAACCTTTCAGTTCTTTGGCTGCCACTCAATCACTCTTGGACAGGATTAACAGCTGGAATTGGTTTAAGGAGAACATCCAGAGAGTCTATCTACAAATTGCCAAAGGATGACAGGGAGGGGAAAATGTATAGAATCTCAAAGGATTCTCTTGTTGAACCCTCTGCCAAAATCTTTTTCATGGTGGGAAATTCAATCCAGGGCCCAGTTCAGCCACCAATTGGTTATATGACTTTAGACTAGTCATTTTCCCTCTCTGGGTTCTTTGCTCTACTGTAAAACAAGCAAGTTAGGCTTGATGGCAGGTTCTCCTCTGGCTGCAGATTTCTGCAATGCCAAGTGTGCTGGTAATCTGAGCTGGGCCAACAGACTGGCAGAGCTACTGGAGAAAAGAAGCTACTACAGGGCTCACCCAGAGCAACACAATGCTGATCTCACATGTTTTCCTCAACAGCAGCAGCAGTAGCAGCAGCAGCAGCAGCAGCAGCAATTCAGAGTGGAGCAAACACACTCATAGAAACTCATTCTCACTACAGGAGTGGCTTTTGTATGGTGGCTCTGAGATAGTTCAGATTTAATTCTACACAGAATGTGGAGCCAGAGGACCAAGAGGTGAGCCAAATAAGACAATCACTCTATGCACGGTCTCAGGAAGGCAGGGCAGTGGAGACCACAGAGTATGATAAAGGTGAAGACAGAAAGCATAGAGGGCTGAGGACTTTGGAGGAGGGTTGGAAGGGGTTGGGAGATAAAGCCACTAAGCATCTGGCTGTGTAGTGAACCACCTTCTTCAGATACCTTTCCTCCTTCAGAGTGGGGGTGGGTGGGAGGGATGACCTTGGTCTAGCAAAAGCAGCTTTTCAAATAGAGATGCTACCCTTGGCATCAAATCCTTGGTTCCTGAGGGAATGGCAATTATCAGCAGGGGTTATGAGTTGTTTCTTTGGGCTGGTGTCAAATGAGGTAGGTTACCCCTCCCCCTCCCCTCCTGCCCCTCTCCCATGCCAAGGGGGAAGGGGGGAGATTGTAGTTGGCTATTCTCCCATCCTGAGCCACTGTCCTCTTGAGGGGGACTGAAGCCCTTTCTTGACATCTGGGAAGGTCAAGTCTGGCCTAAGCACATTGGCCAGGAAGCTAGGGAGCCAGCTGCCTCCCACAATCCATGAAGGTTTGTGTCAGTGATAACTCCAAAGGCCAAGGCTCTCCAAATGTACAGGTTTCTGTCTGGGGAAAAGACTCATTTCATTTGTGAGGTCCAGAACCACACAGTTTTATGATTAAGACAGCCAGTAAGACCGGGGCAGGGAGAGAGAGAGATATCACCATATACCTGCATGTGTGGGAAGGGGAAGAAGACACTAGGAGGGGTAAAAATCTCTGATCCTGGACTATTTTAGAAGGGGGCTTTGCTTACCCCCCCCCATTGTAATAGTGTCAGAGGCGCATATATGACAGCCTTTGGTAAATTCTCTGACTACCCCAAGCTAGGGTAGTCAGACACTCATCCCTAAGTCAAGGCAACTCAGCAAAGCTTTAGGAAGCAACCTCTCTACAAAAGGCACATGGAGGGCCTCCAAAGAGCATAAAACACTGGCTAGGGGCAGAGGGAGGCCTAGTGGCAGAAACCCAGGACTGGGGCAGGGGATTCCCCCCACCACTCTAGTTCACTGCTCCAAGCCCTTAAAAGGCAAAGATGTACTACTCTTGGCAAAGGTCTTCATCAGATTACTGGGATAGACGCACCCTAGCTTCTCTGGGGTTGGGAAACCCCATACCCTATAGAGTGACAGGCTCAGCCGATCCCCAATATAGAAGGGCCCCACCCATTTGGCACTGTTGCCATTCCTGGGGAGGGACAGCAGGAGGACCTGGTCACCTACGTTCCACTCCGTCTCCTGGGTCTCCTGCTTGAATCGCCGATTCTCGGCTTTCTCACTGGGCTTTTCCGCCACCCTCAGGTGCAGCTCCAGCAGCTCGCTGAGCAACTGGAGCAGGAAAATATCCATCTTGAGCCCTTCAATGTTTGCACTGCTCATCTCCCACCACAAAGGCTTGGTCAGTCTCTCCTCACCTCCTGTCAGGATCCGGAATGGGGTAGCCTCCGTGGAGGAGGCCCTAAAGGCCAGATGCAGCAAGGGCAGAGAGGCTGCCCACTTCTTGCCATACAGGAAGATGAATTCCTTCAGGGCTCTCTTGAATTCCCAGTAGGCCTCTGAGCTAGCCAGACAGGTGAACTGGAGAACCCTACTCAGGGTGACTACCTGGGCTCCTAGGGCCAAGCCACAGCTCACTAGGACATGTCGGGCAAATTGGGGACCTTGGGCTGCCTCCAGCTTCACAGGAACCCCCCACCTGGAAAACACATGTTGAAGTAACAGCTGGGCCACTGCCATGTGTGTATAGGGCTTCAGTGGGAACGCTTCCACCCAGCGGGTGTTGGGGTCAGCCACAATGAGCACGTGCTTATAGCCCTCCTCACTTCCAGTGACTGGACCGACCACCTCCATCTGCAGGTTCGCCCAAGGAGCAGTGGACCTGATGGGCCACGGAGATTCAATAGCCTTCAGCTCACAGCCTCCAAGGTTGCGGGGGAGGCAGAACAAGCAGCTTCTGCAGTAATCTTTCACATGTTCCTGTATCCCAGGCCACCAGCCCAGCAACCGCAGCTTTCTGTAGGTCTCCTCTGGCCTCTGGTGGCCCCCTACAGGGACGTCATGCACAGAGAAAATCAGATCCCTTCTCAGTTGCCTAGGAACTACCCAGACTTTGGGCTTTTTATCTCCCTTGAACATAAGCAGGCCACTCTCCTTGTCCAGGCTGAGTGACTGAAAGGCAGAACTAAAAGGGGAGGAACCAGATACTTTCTGACCAGCCTGAAGCTTGGCAATGACATCTGCTAAGGTGCTGTCACTCATTTGCAGTGCTAGTAGATTGGGCTTCTTGCCCATCAAATGAGGAGTCACCGCAGGGACTGGCACATCCGTTGGCAAATCCCAGGACTGCCCGCCCCCTTGGGCACCTTGCTTAGCCAGGGTGTCTACAGTCACAGCAAACAGAGAGCCCCGGTAGGAGGTTCGGTAGATAAATGGCAGGGATGAGAGACTAGAAGTGAGTGATATGATGTAAGAAAGCAGGTTTGGGTGAGGTAGGGGGGCCCCATCAGAGGACAGGAAGCCCCTGGCCTTCCAGAGGGGTAGCAGCTCCCACAGGAGGCTGAAAATCCAGCTGCAGTGGGTAAGGAAAACTACTGGGAACTCTGACTGGCCAAAGTGCTCCAGACCACAGGCCACAGCCGCCAGGTGGGCATAAGTGGGAGTGGAAGGGGCACAGGAAAAGGAAAGGGAGACAGGGGGGCTGGTGGGAGACAGGACATAGAGACCAAAGCCAGCACACCACTCATCATCACGGTAGAAGCAATAGCCTGACACGTGAATACAGATAAAAGTGGACAGGTCAGAAAAAGGAGGTAGAACCTGGAAGAATCGAGGCATGGAAGAAACAGGTGGCAGCAGTTGGTTTTCCCCCAGCAAGCCCTGCAAGAGGGTTAACTCTAAAGCCCTTTTGCCTTTATCCTGTACCAAGACGGACCATCGGATCAACCATGCTTTGGAAACCCCATCGCCCTCTTGTGCCTCAGGGTCTATAGTGGTCCGGGAGGTATAGGAAAGATCTAGGACCACTGGGGAATCTCCAAGACAGTGAGAAAAATGCTTGAGCGCCCAGGCCACTGCATAGGGGCTGTCTCCCCCTGATTGGGGGCCCTCACTGTCCTCACCAGGGAGGAGGGGCTTCGAGGTATAGGCAATGAGGTGCTTTTTTCCCGAGTGCTCTTGATGAAGGATGGCTGTGAGTACCACTTGGCTCACTGTCACCTCCAGGTAGAAGGGCAGCTGGGAGTTGGGGGCTGTCAGGCAGAGGACAGACACCAGGGCCTGCTTCAGGGCCAAGAAGGCCTTCTCATGCTCCCTGTCCCACTGCCAGTCTGGCTTCTGCTTGAGGAGGCAGTGGAGGGGGCCCACAAGGGCTTCATAGTCAGGGATGGCATTCCGGTGGGAGTCCATAAACCCCACAAAGAAGGACAGAGCTGTGAAGTTTCTGGGGATGGTCATCTGGGCCAGCTGAGCTAGGATCTGCTGGCAAGGAGCATTTCCATCCCAAGGGATGTCCAGGTTGGGAGAGGTCACCCCCGGCAGGAGGTCAATGTCTAGAGCTCCGTCAGGAGGGTCATTCAGGCTGAGGTACTGAAGAATTTCCTCAGAAAGGGAAGGGCACTCAACATGGAATGGTGACTCCCAGGAAGAATCAAGACTGTCCTCCTCTGCTGTTTCTGGTATCCCTTGCCCATCCCTCTGCTCCTCTTCCTGTCTTTCTTCCTTTTCCTCTCTGGTTTCTTCCACATCCTGAAGCTTCTCCACAGGCCCAGGGTCAGAGTCATCACTCAGCTCTGAGATGCTGGCTGAAATGGGAGGAAGAGTCTTCCACACCTTCAAGAAGTTGCCGATGTCCATGTCCAACCTACAGACCAAAACAAGTCAAAGGAGAAGGGCAACTCCACCCCCAAAGGTCATCCAAGGGGAAATTCATTCCACACCTAAATGTCCCTGAACACCAGCCTCTTCTATGGCTAGGCTTAGTCAGATCCATACCTGTATCTGCCAGAACCTCAACATTACAGTCTATGGCTAGAAGTCTTAGCAAACAAAATCCTCACTGATCAAGACACATGTAAACTAGTTTTAAGCCAATGGCATCTAGTCTGACACCCCTGGGGACAGGATAAGATGTGAAGGAAAGCTTGACCCACAGCAGGCTAACCTCAACCTCATTTCTACACTGGTGAAAGTTGACTTCAAGACCTGGCCTAGGAAGCAGGACTTGGCCAGGTCCAGTCAGAGCCAAGAGTCCTGCTGGTCCTAGGAAATGGAAGATAGGTAGGAAAGTGACTCAAAGCAAGTAGATGCCAAAGGATAGCTGCTAGTTGCTATAGACCAGTTCTGCTAGCACTGACAAAGTGACTTGGAAAAGTCACTAGAGTCTCAGATTCTTCTCAAGGGTCAAAGGAGATGGTTACCATGACAGTGTGTACTCAAGACACATCTGCTCCTTTAAACCTTAACCAGCACAGGTTGCCCACACCTATAATCCTAGCTACTCAGGAGGCTGAGATCTGAGGATCCTGCCAGCCTGGGCAGACAAATTTAAGAGACTCTTACCTTGAATTAACCAGAACAAAACTGGAAGCTCAAATGGTAGAGCATTAGCCAAGTGGAAAAATCTAAAGGAGAGTGTCAGGCCCTGAGTTTAAGCCCCAGAATTGGCATCAAAATAATAATAATAACAATAACAATAATAATAATAAGGAGCACAAATACCAGTTGTAGAAGGATACGTATTAGTAGTAAAGCTTGTAAGTAAAACTGAAAGCATCCTGTAAGTGGCTGATAGATACATCAGTATGTAATAGAAGTATAAAGATGTGAAAAAGCCAAGTGGCCCTGTTTATTAGTAAGCATTAGGCACATGGTAGCTAGTACAATCAAGAAGGATTTGATCAGTCCCTGGAGAGCTTGGGAGGCAGGGCAGGTCTGACCTTTTACCTGTTTGGCTTCTTTAGAAATTCATCCAATGTGGGGCCATCACGACCCAGAGGGTCATCTGGTACCATGAAGAGATTCCCCGCAAATGTGAAAGGCAGAAGACTGAACCCAGAAGAGAAAGGGGCATGTCATAGATGAGCTCTTGATTCATTACTGTGCCATATATAGTAGCCTGGTGCTGTCATAGACACTTAGACCTCCTTCCCCCAATCTCCAGGCTGGTGATGCAATCCCTACTCCCAGACACCTTTCTCTTTACCAACATTTCTCCTATGGAGTGCCCAATATCAAGCAGAAGGATAAGTTCACACCCCCAGGGAGCACCTCACCGATCTGTGACCATGACTTTCTTGGAGTTATTCATCAAGACGTGAATCTGCTCATTGGTAACAATGACGCCATCTGTCTCTTCTGCCAGCTTTACCATGAACCTGCGTGGAGATGGAGGATTGCTAACTACCCAGTAACCATCTCTTTTATTTTCTGGAGACTAGAAAAATGAACTAGGCAGATGCAGGTGACTCACACCTGTAATCCTGGCTACTCAAAGATGGGACATCTGAGGATCATGATTCAAAGCCAGCCTGGGCAGTAAAGTCCATGAGATTCCTATCTGCAATTAACCTTCAAAAGCCCGAAGTAGAGTTGTGGCTCAAGTGTAGAGGGCCAGCCTTGAGGAAAAACTGCTCAGGGACAGTACTCAGATGCTGAGTTCAAGCCCCAGTACTGGCAAACAAAAAGAAAAGAAAAGCAAGAGAGGGGAAAAAATAGGAATAGAAAATGAAGTAGCAGTTCCACAATGAAGTATGTTAGACAAAAAACACTACTCCTTGTAGTCAAAGTGCCAGGGCTCCAGAGCACATCCCCTCCTCAGTGTAGCCATCTGGCATCATCAAGAGCCCCCAGCACTATGGATCAGGATGCATATAGCTCCTAGTATATAAATGAACACATTCCCTATGATACACATATGAATGAGATGCAGCATTCTAGTATCTAGCTCAGCATCTGCCTCACAGTCTACACACAAATATCCCAGTTTTCTTTGCCAATGCACAACATTCATACGCGTGCCAAGACACAGGTATATACACTAGCATGTATAAAAATAAATTGTGTTGGGCTTGGAATGTGGCTTAGTGGTAGAATGCTTGCCTAGCATGAATGAAGCCCTGGGTTCAATTCCTCAGTACACATAAACAGAAAAAGCCAAAGTGCCACTCTACCTCAAGGGCTAGAGCATTAGCCTTGACAAAAGTAGCTCAGGGACAGTGCCCAGGCCCTGAATTCAAGTCCTCAAGTCCCAGGACTGGCAAAAAAAAATAATTTTTCTGAAGACCACCCTCTCTCTAAAGAAGGTGGTGATCACAAAAGAGGACACTCAGTTCTCCACCCACTGAAAAGTTTCATCCAACTACCCAATTATGCTATTCAGGAAGTGCCCAGCAGGGGTCCTTCTGCAGTCAAGCTTCTCTCCTCAAACCCAGTCCTGAACAGAGGATCTTACAGAACTTACACCAGGGGCTGGTTATTAAAGGAAAAAAGTCTGAGTGGCACATTCCAAGCTCTGAGACTAGATGGATGGATGTCAGATCTTGAGGAAAGTAGAAAAGAAACAACTCCTTGGCTAGCAAGGAGTGCTAAATAAAGCCAAGATCTCTATCTGTCAGACATCAACTCTGGTATGGCAGGGCCTTGCTGCAGTAGAGACAGGACTACAGAATCCCCCAGGCAGTCCAGACCAGCCTAACTCCATTTTTAGAGACTAGTCTACAGGTCATCTACATGAAGCTGCGTACATACCTCCTCCCAGTACCAGGGCTTAGGGGAAGAAAAGACTAAAGGAATTCTTTGAAACACTGATTTCACCCCAAATTGGCAACCAAAAACCTGAGGTACTTCTGATGCTCACTTGAATCATGATGTTCATCCAATACAAAGCAATGGCTCTTGATGGCCCACAGGCCATGGAAAAGAAAGCCAGGGAACTCATGGATGACCTTCTTAGCCAAAAAGAGCTCACCTTGAACTCTCTCTTCACTTGTACCACATCCTCCTTTTGGTCATAACTCCCGACCTCTATTTCCCCAGGGAAGATAGACTGGAGTCCACATCACACGCCAGCCCACAGAGAGGCCTGGGGAACTGCATACCTGTAATCACAGGTGGTGATCTTCTTGCCATTCTCCAGCTGGGAAGGGGTGATTGAAAGCATCTTGAGTGAGTGGAGTTTTGTCAGGAAGTGGCTTTCTGGTGGTGAAAGAGAGAAAAGAGAGATGATTAGGGAAAGGCCATGTGGGGTAGCAGGAGGGTGGAGCCAAAAGGCAGGGAGAAGAAAAGCTTAGTAACGGAGGAAGGGTTGGGCAGGCATAGTAGTATCTCACCTCGCACTCTCCGGTTCTTCCTCAGCTGCCAGGTGGGCACAAATACAGTGATCTCCCGGTGTCCCCGGTTCCAGAAATACTGCACTGCCATGGCTATACCTCGGCAGGAGAAGAAGTGCTGAAGGCCATGCCTGTGGGGTGGAGGAAGTGGCATCCTCTGTCAGCAGAAATGACCTTGCTTCATCATCTTCTCTCAAACCCAGCCCCAGGCATCAGCAATGACGTTCTCCCTTCCCTCCATCTGTTTGAAGATCCACTGAATCTTCCCATATCCACTGGATACAGGACACTTGCAGATACTGTGTGTGTGCACATACACATACACATGCACAAAGATGTATAATCTATGTGCATGCATGCATGCATGCAAATATATATAGATGACATAAAAGACAAGAGAAAGAGGGAAGCCTCTATACTGGATTCAGTTTAAACTTGAAGCAAAAAAAAGTCCCGATCACCTACTATGTGCTCAGAGCATTCTCATCAAGAATAACTACTCCAGCATGTGATCAATTATGTGGTTTGGCACTTACTTGTGCTGATACGTCTCAGCAGTAATCAATCATTGAGCAGGGCAGGCAATCTCTAAGGGCTAGAGTGGTCAGTTAGAACTTCAGAGATCTGTTCTGTGTTAGGTCTTGAGGTTTGGACCAAAGGTTTTCATCTCTGTGCCTGCTTCTGCATTTATCACAGAAGAAGAACAGAAACCTACCCTTATAGGGATGCTATAAGAATCCCATGCACTGCCAGAGGCCAAGTGACTCACTCCTGTAACCCTAGCTTCTCAGGAGACTGAGATCTGAGGATCCTGGCTAAAAGCTAGTCCAAGCAGGGAAAGTCTGTGACACGTTCATATCCAATTAACCAACAAAAAGCCAGAAATAAAGTCAGCTGGAAGTGGTAGAGTGCTAGTCTTGAGCCGAAGAGCATTCGGGCCCAGACCCGGCAAAAAAAGAAAACCAGAAGTAAAGTAAACTCAAGTGGCAGAGCTCTAGCCTTGATCAACAAAGCTTAAGCCAACCAGCCAGATGTTAAAGTGGTTCATGCGTAATCCTAGCTACTTAGGAGGCTGACGTCTGAGGATTGTAGTTTGAAGCCAGACTGGGCAGTAAAGATAATGAGATTCTTTTTTTTTTTTTTTTTTGGATCCAGTCATGAGGCCTGAACTCTGGGCGCTGTCCCTCAGCTCTTCGGCTCAAGGCTAGCGCTCTACCACTTGAGCCACAGCGCCACTTGCGGCTTTTTTTTTTCTTTTTGCTTATGTGGTGCTGAGGAATCGAACCCAGGGCCTCAGGCATGCAAGGCAAGCGCTCTACCACTGAGCCTCCTTCCCAGCCCAGTAATGAGATTCTTATCTCCGATTAAGCACCCCTCCCCTCCCCCCAAAAAAAACGAAGTGGAGCTTTAGCACACTGGCTTTGAGCAAACAAAAGCTCAGGGACAGTACCTGAGCTCCCAGTTCAAGCCCCAAGACCAGCACAAACAAGAACAAAAGAAAGAAAGAAAGAAAAAAGGAAGGAAGGAAGGAAGGCAAGCAGGCAGGCAGGCAGGCAGGCAGGAAGGAAGGAAGGAAGGAAGAAAAGAGGGAAGGAAAAGAACAATCACAGCTGGATGCTGGTGGGTCACACCTATAATCCTAGCTACTTACGAGGCTGAGATTTTAAGGATTGCAGTTCAAAGCCAGCCTGAGCAGGAAAATCTGTAAGACTTTCATCTCTAAATAGTTACCAGAAAACTAGAAATAGCACTGTGTCTCAGAGTGGTAAAGTGCTAGCCTTGGACAAAAAAGCTCAGGGACAGCTTAGGCTATGAGTTCAGTCCCCACAACCAACCAAAAAAAAAAAGAGGGAGGAATCTCCGGGACAGTGCCCAGGCCCTGAGTTCAAGACCCAGGACTGGCACACATACAAACACACACACATAGACACACAAATAAACAATCAGTGCCCACAGTGTGGGTACTCAGCATATGCCAATTTCCTCCTATCTTTCTCCTCTTTGAATCCTTTCACCTCTATGGAAGTTATGAAATAATGGAAGCCTATATTGCATTTTCCAAAGGTACCTTGTCCCCCCACCCCCACCCCACCCAATGCCCATGGCTACTCACACCATGGCCACACTGCTACCATCGATGACCACTCGCCGAAGTCTCTGGTTCCCAGGTTCCTCTGATAAGTTCAACTCGAAAGGCGTGTTTAGGGCCTCGTGATACCTCTGGAAGCTGGTCACTGTGCTGTTTGCCTGTGGCTGGCAGGGTAACTGCCTTGCTGCCCCCTCCAGAGCCCCCAAGAGCCCTTCCCTCTGGCATTGGTGCTTACTGCTGGGAGTCAAGGTGCTGCTGGACTGGTTATCCCAACTCCCAGGCTCTACCTGGCCCTTTGGCAAGGTGTTACCACCTCTTAACAAAGGCAGGGCTTCATTCTGCAGTTTGGCTACATCCAAAGCTGGACCTGCATCTGTGGGTGCCTTCTGGGCTGCGGGTGTTTTGGGAGCTCTGGAGGTTTTTGAACCTACAGGTGTTTTGGGGGGTGCAGACGCTTTTGGAGCTACAGATCCTGTTTTAGTTGTGGACCCAGTTTGAGTTTTAGGTGTTTTCGAACCTGCAGGTAATGCTTTTGTGGCAGGCATCTTCTGAGCTGTGAGAGTTTGGGGAGCTGTAGATGTTACTTGCACTGCTGATACCAATGCTGGTTGACCCACAGCTGCTTTTGGAGCTGTAGATGCCATGTGAACTGCCGGTTTTGTCAGGGCTGAAAGCACTTTGGGAGCTGTAGGTTCTGTGTGTCCTGCTGACATCTTTTGGGCTGTTGAAGGCATGTTGGAAGCTGCATGTGGCCCTTTGGCTGGGGGTGGGCTTTCTGCTTTGGCCACTATGGCAGCCATGGGCACTTTGAGAGTGTCAGGCACTTCTGGAACTTCAGGGGCTGCCTGGGGTATCAGCCCCTCTTGAGCCACGGGCCTCCCCTGAGCTGTGGGCAGTGCTGGAGAGGACCCTTTTTCCAGACCCTTACAATCTGATGGGCTATGTCCTTGATTCCCAGGGTCAACTTGAGCTTGTAGTTTGAGTGGAGAGGTCAAGGGTGGCCCTATCTGCGGAAGTCGTGAACTAATCTTATGTTTGACACCAGAGCCCTCCGGGACCACCAGCAAGCTCATGACTTGTGGAGGACTCTCAGGCCTCAGACAGTTCTGTAGGGCTCTCTCTTCTCCCAGCTCCCCATTGGATCTGCAAGCTGGGCTTTCTGCACTAGGCAGGGGAGCTAGATCCTTCTGTTTCCACTCCAGATTTAAGGGCAAAGCATTCTGTCCTGGCAGCTTCAGCTGAATGGGACCCAGAGGCCTCTGCCAGAAGGGGAAATTAAAGCAGGCTTGGGACAGAAGGCAAGCCAGGTGGAGAGAATGCAATTCATTGATTGTCCAGAAGGATGCTGCAATAGTCCCAGGCCACAAAGGCCCAAAGGCTGGCCCTGGGGTCCAGGCCTTCCATGATGGACACACACTCAGGGATGACGCAGGAGGCTGGAAGGAGAGTTTATCTTCCACTCTCTGAACCTGCCTTTGCTTCAGTAAGGCTTGTGTGTGGTGTGCAGAGTCCTCACTACTGGTGGCTTGTGCTGGCCTTTCCTCTGGAGAGCTGTTTTTACCACCCTGGTTGTTGGAACCAACCCTAAAGGAAACAAGGTAGTTAAAAAGGTAGAAAGACACCAGGTACTCAGGAGGCTGAGATCTGAGGATTGTGGTTTGAAGCCAGCCAGGGCAGGAAAGTTCATGAGACTCTTACCTCCAATAAACTATTAAAAAGCAGAAGTGGAGGTGTGGCTCAAGTGGTAGAGCACTATTCTTGAACAAAAAAGCTCAGGACAGTCCCCAAGCCCTGAGTTTAAGCCCTAGGACCAGCAAAGATTAAAAAAAAAATAGAAAGGCCAGATGCCAGTGGCTCATGCCTATAATCCTAGTCTGTAATCTTCCTAATCTCAGAAGGCTGAGATCTGAGAATCATGGTTCAAAGCCAGCCCAGGCAGGAAAGTCCATGAGTGGACTAGAGTGGTAGAGCACCTACTGAGCGCTCTTATCTCCAATTAACCATCAAATAGCCAGAAGTAGCTCAAGTAGCAGAGCACCAGCCTTGAGTGAAAAAGCTAAAGGACAGGGCCCAGACCCTGCAGTCAAACCCCACCCAATACAGTCACACACACACACACACACACACACACACACACTATATATATATATATATATATATGAAGGAAGGAGGAGAGATTTAAAAAAATAAGGAAAGAAAGCGAGAGAAAGAAGGAGAAAGACAAGGCCAATTTAGACCCCAAACTACTACTATTGTTTCTGGGGTGAAGAAGCAAGGATAGGATCAGAAAAGCCAGACACGTTGTCCAGAACTTACCATAGCAGCTGATTTGCTGTCTCCTGCTGTGTGCTCTGGGTTTGGACTAGAGACGGGGTAGCTCCCAGGTTCATCAATCTTTTGGGGTTTTCTGAGCCCTCATTCTGGAAGGACCCTATCTCCAGGAAGGACTCAGGAGACTCTCCCACAGACACTATAGTTGTGTCTTCCTTCTGCTGGGGAAGGCAGATCGAGACCTCTGGGCTGGAGATGCCAAAGTGGCCGAGCCACTCAATGATGTCCTCTTTGCCTGCAGCATCTCGGACCAGGCTCAGCAGAAGCTCTTGGACTGCTGGGGGCAACTGCAGGAGGTCTCCTGCATACTGGTCACCACGGATCCATACCAGTGCCCCAAAGGCTCGGGTCACCTCAGCTTCCCAGACACCCCGGGGAGTTAGGAAAGAAGCAGGACCCCAACGCAACCTGGCTACCAGCTCCTCCAGCCAGTTCTGGGTCATGGTGAAAGACTCAGTCAGGCCGCCCACCATCAGGGAGCCAGGGGGGCCAGGCACTAGGTAGGCCAGGGTGCTCCAACAGAGGCAGTCCAGGAAGAGGCCCTGGGCCCCAAGGAAGGCGCAGTGCAGGACTGGTGGATAGCGAACCTCCTTCCATAGCTCTGGGCTACACAGGCCCTTCAGATATTCCTAGGCACCATAGAGAGAGCAAAAGGAAAGCAGTCCATTACTGACCTGCAGCTGGCTCCACCCTCTTTACCTAAAAATCCAGCCCCTTCCTAAGCCATGTCCTCCCTCTACCTATACAGGGCCAGCTGCTCTTTCCATGATCTTGACCCTCACACCCCATCTCCTTCAGGGAACACTGAGAGCACATGGCAGACACAGAAAGAGGAGAAAAAGGAACCAGGTACAGAGTCAAGAGATCTAGTTCTACTTCCATCGTGGAGTCATTAGATCGGGATCCTAAGGGCAGGGGATGGAGAGATACAGCATCAGCCTAGTAAGTGCAAAGCTCTGAGTCCAAGCCCCGGTACCACACACACACACACTCTCTCTCTCTCTCAAAGAATGCAATTAGAAATCAACATGTTCAGCAAGACAAGTTAAACTCAAAAAGCTAAATAATGTATACTTTTACTCTTGTGGAAGCTAGACTTAAAGGACATTTTATATATGAGGTAGTACATGATTTGGAACTATTTAGGAGGATAAGAAGTAGGGGAGAGAGGAAAAATGAAAGTTAGAGGATAGCAGGGCATTGGTGGCTCAGGCCTGTCATCCTAGCTATTCAGGAGGCTGAGATCTGAGGATCACAGTTCAAAGCTAGCTGGAGCAAAAAAGTCCATGAGATTCTTATCTCCAATCAACCACCAAAAAACAGGAGTGGAGCTGTGGCTCAAAGTGGCAGAGCACTAGCCTTGAGCAAAAAACAGCTCAAGGACAGTGCCTAGGCCCTGAGTTCAAGCCCCACAACTGACAAATAATAAAAAAAGAAGAAAGAGGGTAAATAACTTCAAAGTACATTGCAACTATATATAAAAGTAGTATAAGGAATTTCAGTAAAAGCTGCCAAGAAAAAGCGGGGCAAGAAAAAGAAATAAAGAGGTTTATTCTGATTAATTTGTATCCTGTTTAGAGACCAAAAGGAACAAAAACCAAAGTGAAGGAAATCTGTCATCTTCTAATGGCTTCAGTCTCTTAACCTCTAAAATGATAGATGAAACTAGATACTCCAGGGCCAGTTCTCTGGCATTATATAATTGTGATCGTTAGGGAAAGAGACTGAACACTACTAAGCATTCTCTGTACTTAAGCGTGACCTGGGGCAAGTTATTTATTACCTCATCTTCCCACCAAGCCACCTGATTCCTATTGTCAAGACAGATTCCACATCATAGGTGTAGTGAGTATTATGGAATACTGACATAGTGCATTATTGAATAATGACATAGTATGTTCTAGGATATTGACATAATGTATGTGTTACTGAAAACTGTGCCTCAGTGGACTGTCTCGTTCTTCGGAGGTCCTAAGTGTGCCTTCCCCAGAATTACAGTCCACATCTATCTGAACTTTGAAAGCAGAGCTCTTTCCACCTCTTCTGTCTGACCACCAGGTGACTACAGTAAGTAGCAGGTAATCCTAAGAGATTCCAACTTAATCCTCGTCTAGTACAACCTGCACCTGTAACCATGGTACCTGTTGCCCAGAGGCAGAGATTAAGTTGCTGGGCCAGTGTCCAAGGTTTTAAAATGCCCCACTGATACATATAATGTCTAATCAGAAGGAAGACCTCTGGCTCTCTGGCCAATCAAGAGGGAGAAAACGGTCTGGGAGACATTGGGTTCCTCCACTCTCTGTCTGAGTTCCACCAGCACAGGCCCTTGAACTCTAAGAAGCAGGAACACTTGCAGTTAATCCACCAGCCCCTATGGACTGTATCATCCCTCTTCCATTAGAAGATAAATGCTCCATTTCAGATTTTCAACCATCCTGAAGTTCAAGCCAGCACCTCTGCTCAAGTATCCAGGAAATGCTTTCCTGTTTAAACCTATGTTTGACTCTTACACCTGGCCTAAACTATAGACCTACAACCTCTTCTCCAATCCCTGCTCCAAAACATACTCAGTTGTTAATCTCTGATTTTCAACCAGGCAAAATGACCACAACATTTGATAGGCATCCAGTCAACCCCTCCCACTCAATCTTCACCTGGTCATATGAACCCGCAAGGCAAATCTGACCAGGTACAAAATACATGTGAAAATAAAGAGGCATGCTGCAAAAGAAAAGTATGGATTCATTCTCTCAGTCTCAGTATCGGTCTCAGTCTCAGTCTCTGTCTCTCTCCCTCCCTCCAAAGATCTTAGAATAATTCTGTCAAGTGTGTGTGTGTGTGTGTGTGTTCTGGTCCTGGGGCTTGATTCAGGGCCTCTTGATCTTGCTCAGCATCTTGCTACCACTTGAACCACACCTTCAGCCCAGGTTTTTTGCTTGTTAATTGGACATTGAGTCATTTGTACTTTTCTGACCCGGCTGGCTTGAACTGCGAATCTTCAAATCTCAGTTCCCTGAGGAGCTAGGATTATAGACGTGAGCCATTACAGCTAGGCCTGTTCAATATTTTTTTTTTATTGAAAAGTACAAATTGAGATAGTTTTCAAAATAATCAAAATAACCAGGCATCAATGGCTCTGGCCTATAATCCTAGTTACTCAGGAGGCTGAGATCTGATGATCAAGGTTCAAGACCAACCCAGACAAATCAGATTCTTACCTCCAATTAGCCAGCAAACAGCAGGAAGTGGAGGCATGGTTTAAGTGGTAGAACATAGCATGGAAAAATAAATCACAAGAGAACACTAGGCCTTGAGTACAAGACCTAGTAATGGCATTAAAAAAGTTTATTACCATTACTTTCCTCAGAGATGTAATAAATGACATGAAACACACAAAATATGAATAGGATGCTTCTAAATTTAAAAAAAAAACTTTTTTGTGCCGGTATTGAGGCTTGAACTCAAGGCCTAAATGTTGACCCTTAGCTAATTTTTAATTCCTTTTTTGCTCAAGAATAGCATTTTATCACTTGAAACAGCTCTACTTCTGGCTTTTTGGTGGTCACTTGGAGCTAAGAATCTCACAGACGTCTCTGCCCATCTGGCTTTGAACCGCGATCCTCAGATCTCAGCCTCCTGAGTAGCTAGGATTACAGGCGTGAGCCACCAGCGCCCGGCTTGGATAGGCATAATTAAACAACCACTAAAGACAGATTTAGCAGAAAACTCAAACAAGCTACCTTGGGAAGAAAGAAGAAATGGCTATAGAGCTAAATCTGACAATTGGAAATAAAAAACAACATCTATAATTGATCAAAAGGTTATTATATCTAGCTGGATGTCAATGACTCATACCCATTATCCTAACTACTTAGGAGGTTGAGATTGGTCGGATCATGATTTGAGGCTAGCCCAGGAATCCATACAAGAGCCCTTCTACAACAATAGCTTGACACAGTGTTGCACATCTGTCATCTGAGCTCTGAGGGAGGCTGAGGTCTAGAGGATTCAAATTTCATTATAATCTGGGCAAAAGAGAAAGGTTGTAAGATTCCATTTCAGTGAAAGAAGATGAGAGTGGTGGTATGTACCTAACATCCTAGTTAAAATGAGAAATACAGGAAAGAGAAAAAGGAAGGGAGGATTATATTTTATACTTTTTGATAGAAATGCCAGAGCAAGTATCCATAGGGAAGGGTACTGACAAGGAGATAGAACAGAAAATCACTATCTCCTTTTTTTTTTTTTTTTGGCCAGTCATGAGGCTTTAACTTGGGGTCTGGGCACTGTCACTGAGCTATTTTGCTCAATGCTAGCACCCTGTCACTTTGAGCCACAGCGCCACTTCTGATTTTCTGGTGGCTAATTGGAGATAAAAATCTCACACTTTCTATCCAGGCTGGCTTTGAACCATGATCCTCAGGATCGCAGGCTCTTCATTAGCTAGGATTACAGGTCTGAGCCACTATCTTCTTTTATAAACTTTTTTTTTCTTTGCCAGTCCTGTGACTGGAGCCTGGGCACTGTCCTTGAGTAGTTTCTTTTGCTCAAGGGTAGCACTCTACCACTTGAGCCACAGAGCCACTTCCAGCTTTTTCTGTGTATGTGATACTGAGGAATTGAACCCAGGGTTTGATGCATGCTAGGCTAGCACTCTATCACTAAGGCACATTCCAAGCCGGATCTCTTTTTTTTTGCAAATTCTTTATTGTGATTAAGTGATTACATAATTTCACAAATTTCACAGTATTGTGAGATAGTGATCCAGCCCATTCTTTTATAAACCTTTGAAGTATTTTTTAAGCAATTTAAAATGTATATTACTTGATAAAAGTTTAAGTTAGGAATCAGGTACTTGCAGCACAATTAGGTAGATGTTTCACAGTTAGCTGGTGGGGAGCTTATAGCCCTATTAGCATTTGCCAATTTCAATGGGGTAAATACTCCCAGTGTGGCTATAAATATTACTCTAGCAGTTTACAAAGTTCCTGAAATTTTAACAGTGGTTCAGGAGGAGCCAAGTCCAACACTCCTCCGACCACAGACAACTTCCTTGGTTCTTCCCATAGTGTAAGGCAAGGACAGATCCATTTCCAACTGACAGCCACACCAAAGTGTACAAGCCTCGCCATAACCCAGAGTTCCAGAATCCAGACTCCAAAAGTCACCTCTCCACCCAAAGTTCACTATCCAATACCACAAAAATCAATCAATCAAGCAATCGCCTCTACTGCCACAGCTATGGTTGGAGCTCAGGGCCATGCACTTGATTAGCTTCCTTTGCTTGGTAGGCAGGTGCTCTACCACTTGAACCAAGCTACCAGCCTTTTTTGCTTTAGCTATTTTTCAAATAGTCTTTTTTTTGTTGGTTGTGGGGCTTGAACTCAGGGCCTGGGCACCATCCCTGAGCCTCTTTGTGTTCAAGGCTAGTACTCTACCGCAAGCCACAGCACTACTTCCTGAGATAGAGTCTGTGCTTTTTCGCACAGGCGGATCAGGCCATAGTCCTCTTACCTATGCCTATCAAGTAGCCGAGATTACAAATGAGTAGCACCAAATTTTGTTCTTCCACAATCTTTGGACTCCCCATTTTGCTTCCCTCCATCTTCTCCAAAAGAGAGAAAGGCAAACATGCCACCTTTTCTTTCTAACACCCAACCCAATCTCACATTGTTGTCAAGGAAGGCAGAAAGAACAAGTAAGGCTTATCCCTGGGCTTTTCTAATCACTATTAAAACTCCTCTCATCCAAACACTGGTGGTTCACACCCATAATCCTAGCTATTCAGGAGGCTGAGATCTGATGATTGAGGTTCAAAGTCAGGCCAGGCAGACAAATCTAAGAGATTCTTTTCCCCAATTAGCCAGCAAAAAGTGAAACAAAGCAAGACACAGAATGGGAGGTATAGCTCAAGTGGTAGAGCACCAGCTTTGAGGAAAAAGCTACGAGTTGTGAGGCCTTGTACCAGCACAAACCCAAAGGAAAAAAAGGAAAGGAAAAAACCAACTGGGAAAAAAGGGGGAGGGCAACCCTCTTCTCCTTACTTGCTGTTTTCTCTTCAGAGAAGCCACGATTTTGCTGCGAACATGCTTTACAGCAATATCCTTGATATTTTATAGTCCTCCAAAACTACAAAACAATTTAAAGGTACCCAAGATTTTTCCAGAAATCTAAGTCCATATGATGTACAAATATACCCAGGCCTCTTTCAAGATGATCCTACCTAGTTCCTTCTTAACTCTTCCACTCAGACCCAAACAAGCCAGTCTACCAGATAGCCTTGGTAGAAGAGGCCACAGTCAAAGTCCAAGATTCTGTGTCCATAAAACTGGGATTGCAGTCAACTAGCCATACCACCTCCATGTGGAAAAGACAAGGAATGTTCATAAAGCCAAGCCTCTCACTTTACAAACGAGGAGACCAACACTTAGGGGAAAAGTTTTGCTCACTCATACAACTATTTAAGAACAGTAATACCTCACTCTATCCCTCACAGCTCTCCACATTTTGCAAAAATTTCTTTTTTTTTGGGGGGGGGTCCGGTCGTGGGGCCTGAACTCTGGGCCTGGGCGCTGTCCCTCAGCTCTTCAGCTCAAGGCTAGTGCTCTACCACTTGAGCCACAGCACCACTTCCGGCTTTTTTCTTTTTGCTTATGTGGTGCTGAGGAATCGAACCCAGGGCCTTGAGCATGCAAGGCAAGCGCTCTACCACTGAGCCACCTTCCCAGCCCCGCTAAAGTATTTTAATAGCACCTATTATTCCAACTGGCTCTCACAACCCCTCTACAAAGTGGGCATTTTCACATTGCTTTATAGATAAGGGAATTGTCCTCCCAAATAGCAAATTATTCAACCCAGACCCCCCCCCCCAGCTAGAAGATAGCAAACCCTAATCTCAAGCTCTAACACACCCCTGAATCTGGGTCATATTTGGTGATGACATGAGAGAGAGAGAGTCCTATAATCACCTTTCATTAAGCTCCCACCTTTTTTTTTTTTCCTTGGCCAGTAGGGGAACTTGATCTCAGAGCCTGGGTACTGAGTGCTGCTGTCCCTCAGTTTTGTTTTGTTTTTTTTTTGTTTTTCTCTCAAGGATGGTACTCTACCACTTAAACCACATCTCCACTTCCGGATTTTTTATTTCCTTAAGAAAGAGATTCTTAGATCTCAACTTCCTGAGTAGCTAGGATTACAGGTGTGAAGGCAAGTCACTAGTGCTTGGCTCTGCCACTAGCAGTGCTGTAAAGGCAGTGGGAGAGAGAACTGAGTCACTGGATTTACTAAAGGTAGCAATGGGAGCTGGCACTGCCAGGCTTGAACTAGCTGAATCAAGACTTAAGCAAGGAGCAGGGGAGCGAGCACTTAGTATACTCACAAAGCTAGAGATGTGGCTTAATGATAGAATGATAATCTTGCATGCATAAGATCCTGTGTTCAACCACACAGCAAACCCCCCCCCAAAAAAAAACACAGTAATAAAAGACTGAGTTGTGGTATTTAATAGTAACAAAAATATTTAGAACCCAAGAGATTCTTCCTACGTTTTTTCTTTGTTATAATTTTTGTGCCTATGTCTGGAGCTTGAACTCAGGGCCTGAGTATTGTCCCTGTTTTTTTTGCTCAAGGCTACCACCTAAGCCACGACACCTCTTCTAACTTTTTGCTGGTTAATTGGAGATACAAGTCCCATGAACTTTCCTGCCCTGGCTGGCTTCAAACCACGGTTTTTAGATCTTACTTCTGAGTAGTTAGGATTACAGGTGTGAGCCACCAACACCCAGCTAGGCCTCTTCCTACTAACCTACCCTGTTCTAGCTTCTGAAACTTCTTTCTCTCAAAAGTCTCCAGCCCATCTAGTCTCACTAGACACTCCTCCCCTCCCAGCTCCCACCCCTTCCCTCCCAAAACCTCTAAGGAACTGAAAACCCTCCCTGGCCCCAGCACCTCTGTCAGAAAAGTGCTGATGTAAGCAGCTCAAGGAGGGGGGTGAGGGAGGAGCTTTACTGCTGGCTGTGTTCTGGGCCTCCTCTCCCTATGGCCTTGATCTAGAATACTGTGTGTCTGGGGGAAGGTGGCTTGGGACAGAGTGAGGCTGTAACATTTCTACCAGGAAAAGATAAGGGAATTTGAGGGCAGTGGGAGCACCAGAGGCCCAGGCAAAGCAGCAGCTAGGGAGAGAAGCCAGGGAAAATACAGGAGACATACTATGTGACTTGGCCAGTCAAACATCCGGCCCCAACTGCAGGGCCTTTAGTCTCCTCCCAGGTCCTCTCTCATGCCCAAGGGCTACAGTCTTCCCCAGCACCTAACCCTGAGCCCCTTATTCCAGGCAGCCTCGGATATCTAACGTGTGAGGCAGACTCCTGGGCTCCAGTCCAAACCCCACCACCCCACGCCTACTTGGCCCTTAGCACTTAGGCTGGCCTCTCTCGCTCTCTGATCTCCAAACTCCTTATTTCTAAAAATGCCAGCATGGCTTTGGAAGTGTCTCTGAAGACCAGCTCCACCCCCTCCCTTCAATCCTAGCACTCAGGATTGAAGAAAGATCTAGGCCTTCAGTCTCGGTGAAGAACAAAGGGGTGTGTAGCAAAGCCACAGAAATAACAGGGCCTTACCACTGGTCCCCTGATGGAATCCTGGGGCCTGGCCAGGGACGGCTGGTGGGATAACACACACGGAGAAGGTTCTTCCAGAGCATCGGAGGGACAGAAGTGACACGCAAGAGAGGGGTGGGGCAGAAAAGAGAGAAGGGACCGGAGGGAAGGAGCTTGGGCTGCAGATCTGGAGGCGACAGAACAGCCCTGCCCTCACTACCTGCAAACCCCACTACGGGATCCACTTCGGGGGGTCCTCTGGGGGCCGCTGACTCCCGAGGAGTCGCAGAGAGAGGCGTCGGGCTGGGAGAGGAGCTGTTTACCTTGGCCTTGCCCGTGTTCTCCCGGGGCCCCTCCAGCTGCAGCCAGAAGTAAGAGGTGTCGGGGCGGCTCTGGAAAGCGTTCAACTTGACCCTGAAGATGCGTTGCACTTGGAGCTGCTGCCGCCGCACCCGAGCCTTGGATTTTGTCTGCACCATTAACCATTCCAGCGCCGGGGGTTCGCCCCCCGACAGGAGCATGGCCGCCCCGCCCGCCCTTGGAGAGAGCCAGAATCCCAGTGACACCCGGGTCCCAGCTAGCCCGGCGC